AAAAAAAAAGACGAATCGAACCGAATTCGAACCAGTAAAACTCGGTTTGATTCATTTTTGATCTCTGATGTAAAACGATCGGTCATACGTCGTTTGATCATTGCTCAAAGTATCACAATTTTAGAGAAAAGGTGATACCTTAATCAATCTTTTTTCTTATACGTTTGTCTACATTTACTCGCTTTTCAAAAATTAGTTCGGGTTCGGTTCAGTTCTTTTTCGATCTCTAGTCAGAATGCCGAGATATATAATTACGAAAAAAAATCGATTAAAAAATTGATTAAGATTTCTCCAGTAAAATGACTAGTTCGTCTAAAATCTTATGAAAATAAGATTCCCTATATAATATTGAACGTGGCTCGACTTGCTCTACAACAATGTACATTTGCTTTCTGAATTGTGAATATGGCACGTTATTCAAGTAAGTCCTTTGAAAAACTATTTTCAAATTTGAACGTTGATATTTCGAGGTATGTTCAGATTTCCGAAAAAGGAAATTACAGAAATTTCCGAAGCTTCCATCAACTCGATAACTACATAGCAAAGCAAATGAAAATATTTTGGAAATATTGGAAAATTTAGAAATTTTAGAATTTTCTGTAATTTCGGAAATTTCGCTACGTATAGAATTTTGGAAATTTCAGAAATTTCGGAAATTATACAATTTTGGGAAATACCAAACAATTTAGAACACAAGTGCTTGAAATTTCCAAAACTTCCGAAATTTCCTTTTTTGGAAGTCTGAACACTGCTGTCGATTGAAATATCCTATGTTGTTCATATGTTATGTTACTCAAAACATATTTCGTTTTGCATAACGAATATTAAATTGTACTTGCCAGATAGTCAGATTTTTTATATGTTTAAAACTTATATACGTCTTCCTTTCTTCCATTTTTTCCCTCGGACTTAGCCAAACGTCAATGTGCAAAAAACCATGTCGACACGAGAAAATCTAAGAATCTTGCATGGACTTCCAATATGTTTTTGATGCTCTCAACTATTGTGCATGAATATGCAAGTTTTGCTATAAATGTTTAGTTCTGATATGTAAATCCAGTGCAATGGTACACCCTTAAACATGCATGTTAGAAATACATGTATTCAAACACAAGTTTGAAAACTTTTGAATGAAACATACAAAGTTATGCAACGTTGAATAAAGAGTTCAGCAATTGTATCGTTCGAGAAAAAAACCGGTAAAAATAAATTTAATAATAAGAAAAAATTAAGTATTGTATTTGATAGAACAATGTCGAATGGATGTGACAATAATATTTTTTCAACAGTTCCCCTATATCCACGATTGAATTGGCATGCATATTGCTTTTTTTAATGAAATTCATAAAATGCTTCGATGATTATGGATGATAACAACTTATAAGGGTATTCTTTCATTGCAAGTCTTGTTAAGTTAGCGCTATATACCTTTTTTTCAATGTAATAGAGGTATGAAAATGATGATATTGTTAAATAGTTCTCGAAGCAGAGCTGATTTTTGTTTGCTATTTCCATATATCAATCAATTTTAGTAGAATTACATCAAAAACTGTTGTTTCACACTTTGTTAGTCCAACTGAGTTTTCTGTCAAACACAGAAAGATTTTCGCTTGATTTTTTTGAAATATTTCTATACTGTACGAACTGAAAAGAGGATCAAATTTTTGTGGCAAATAGCTCAGTTTTCATTCAGTTGTAACAATGAGAAAATTTAAAAAGACTCTCTACATCCAGCATGATAATCTTTTTTTTAAATTTTGTATAAAATGTTTTGTATTAACGAGTTTTTTGAAACAAACCTCTTTTACATCTCAAATTATATTCTCCCTAGTTATCTGATACCCTAGAACGCGTTCAAGATATTTTGACAATTTTTTATGTTGATGACCTCAAACACACCATTTATGACTCCCAAAAGATACATTTATACTTTCAGATCTAGTTTAAAGTTTCTTACCCTAAGTACAAAATCTCACTTATATTAAGATAAAGATATATAATGTGGGTGTGGTGTAGGTGCGCATGTGAGTGTTCTAGCGTGGTTGAAGAAAAAACTCATAGCTGCAATCATGCACAGTCATATCCACATTTTATATTTTAATATAAGCGAGGTTTTACTTAGGGTGAGGAACATAAATGTAGACCTAAAACCATAAATGATGACTTTCGGAGTCACAAATAATGTTTTTGAGATCAAAAATATAGAGAAAGAACATAAATGTAGAGAGTTTTGAAAAGTGTCCATAGGCATCCCATAGCTGCTTGGTATACATTTTATAGCTGAAAATCAATATTTCCTCTACATTTGTTGTTTTTTGATCATTTTCCCTGCATTTATGCTACAAGATTCATCATTTGTGACTACTTAACTCTACATTTATGATTCCTCTTATAATATATATAGCGTTTTATGACAATATGTTGTCAACAATACCATATTCTTAGTAGTAGAGCCACAAATGTAGAGTTTTGGATTTATAAATATAGATAGGATATAAATAATGGCGAATTTTTTCTAGTTGGACACTACTAGATATATATGTGATAAAAATTTCAGCCTTCTACTAGAGTCCTGCAGGTTGCACGTAACGTGACCTCCCAGAGCCAGGTTACGAAATTTTTACAGGGCAGGTTGCAGGATACCAGTGTCGTAACCTGTTAACCTGTAATTAATTTTATTCATTCAATATTGTCGACATCTTTTTTAAAATTGCATATTAAGCAAAATAGATTTAATAAAGTTAACCTACTGGTCGATAAGAAAACGTTAATTACGATCGCTTGCAACCAATTCCATTCATTCGATATTTTTGTATTAGAAATTTTTGAGAAACTTCGTGTTATTTTTATCTGTTTTATGCTTGAAGTATTTTGAATTACATTGATTTTTAAAACTGATGTAAAATTTTCTATGTTTCTTTGCTTCAAAAAAATTTTGGGCAGGACAGGGCAGGTTACAGGTTACGATAAAAAGTCTCAGGGCAGGGCAGGTCAGGGCAGGGTACGCAACAAAAATTCACAGGGCAGGTTACAGGTTGCAGAAATTTCGTAACCTGCAGCCTTCTACCTTCTACATCAAGAAAAAGTATGAAAAATATCGTCGATAATATATAGTCAGTTATTACGATACACCCTTTATCTAGGTGATTCCATACGTGTGTAAACAAAGAACTACTCATTCGTCTTCTGGTGACATCTAGAATAAATTTGTTGTAGTGGAAAATATTCTTTTTTTATACATAAACAAAAACAGAAAAACATCTTATTACTCTTAGTATAATAATAGGCTGTGATCACGAGTTTTGACATCGTATCTCGAAAAGAACAGACAAAAAACATACATATATAAATTGATCGCACGTGTATCAAGAATAAAACTTGCTCCGTATTTTTCTAGACAGTAAAATGAGTACAACGAATCATTCTACTGATGAGCAAGTACGTGTTCTTATTTTAAACGAAGGCGAAGATAAAAGTGAAGAACTATATCGGTTAAAAAAAGGTTTCTTTTTTGATTTTTATAAAGAATAATTTAATCTATTGTAATTAAAAGGTTGGGTACTTCAAATAAAACTATCGCCTAATTTAACATGGAGAAAAGTCCGAATATTTACAAATGCTTGTCTTAGTGAAGAAGATCAATTTGAACGAAATACTTATCGTGAATTGAAATGGATTTATCCATCATCTGGAAAATATGATGATTCAGATCGTTATATTTATTTACCATGTTGTAAATCGGGCTCATTTCATTATTTTTTTACTATTGATAGAACAACGTGAGTTGACATTTTTTGTTTTAGTAAAATAAAACAAAACAAAATATTTTACTATCTAGAATAAAAGAAAATCGGAATGGTCAAGGTTATATTCATGTTGAACCATATTTAATGTGGCCAGATGGAAGTGGTGAAATATTAGAACAAGAATATATAACATGTCAATCAGTATTATCAAAATCATTGGGTCCTTTATCTGAATGGGCATCACGTATTGAAGTAGGACGTCATTCAGGTTATAATATCATACATTTTACACCAGTTCAATCACTTTATCATGTATCTAATTCATCATATTCAATAAGTGATCATCATAAATTAAATGAAATATTTCAAGGAACATATGAACAACTGAAAACATTAATTGATATTATGGCTAAACAATGGAGAGTTTTATCAATAACTGATCTTGTTTATAACCATGCAGCAAATGATTTTGCTTTACTTCGAGATCATCCTGAAGCTGCTTATAATTTAATTAATTCTCCACATTTAAAATCAGCTGTACTTCTTGATTCAATATTAATGCAATTTACTCGTGATGCAAGTGAAGGAAAACTTTTATCAAAAGGTATTCCAGCTGAAATAAAAGAATATCATTTACAATTAATTCGTCATTATTTACTTAATGAAAAACTTGGTGAATATCGTCTATGGGAATATTATATATGTGATACAAATTCATTAGTTGAACAATTTCATAAACAATTATCTATATTAAATGATTGTCCCGATAAACCTTTATATGATAATGATAATTTAATTAAAATAAAACATGGAAAATATGATAGAATGAAAAGTTTTGTTGATCTTAATTTAGCTGAAAAAGTTTATTTTTTTAAGAGAGAACATTTATCAACGAAAGAACAATGGATAAATGCAGCATGTCATGCATTACGTGATCGTCTTGACTCTTTAAATCATTTCGTTTGTGAAAAATTAAATGCAGATTTAACTCGAGCTATTGATAATTGTATTGCATCATGTCGTTATCATTTTTTTGCATCAGATGGACCAAATTATAAAAGCTTATGTTTACCATCAACACCATTTGTTGGAAATTATTTTTATTATCCAAATGGAGAATTAAAACATCCAGATGATATAAATCAATTAATTGAAAATGATACTAATTACCAATTACATGTTATGGCTCATAATGGTTGGGTTATGAATGATGATCCTCTTAGATGTTTCGCCGATGAAGGTTTTTCATTGTTGCTTTTATTTTTTATAAAATGATTTTTTTAAAAATTTTATTTGTTTTTTTTTCGAAGGACAATATGTTTATTTACGTCGAGATTTACTTCAATGGTCCGATTTAATAAAACTACGTTTTGGTTCAAAACGTGAAGATTGTCCATCATTATATGATTATATGAAAGAATATACACGTTTAGTAGCAACAACATTTCATGGTTGTCGTCTTGATAATTGTCATTCAACACCATTATGGTTAGCACAACAAATGATGGATTATGCTAGAGAAATAAATCCGAATTTTTATATTAATGCTGAACTTTTTACTGGAAATATGTCACTTGATATGCAGTTTATTAATCAAATTGGAATTAATTCTTTAGTTAGAGGTTAATTTATAATAAAATAAAAGAGATTTAAAAAAAATATATTCTTTTAGAATCATGGAGAGCAAATAATTCATATGAATTAGGTCAAATTGTTTCATCATTTAGTGAAGGGGATCCAATTGGTTCATTTATCAAATCAAAAGCTCGTCGATTATTACCAACAAAACCATATGCATGGCTTTTTGATCAAACACATGATAATCCATGTCAAATTGAAAGAAGATCTGCTGAAGATGCTGTTCCACGTTCAGCTTGTGTTGCTATGGCTTATTGCTCAACTGGTTCAAATAGAGGTTATGATGAATTAGTTCCACATTATATTGATGTTGTTCATGAAACAAGATTTTACTCTAAATGGGGTGATCAGCATAAACAAACCAATGAAAAAACTGCTATGATTTCTATTAGAAAAGCTCTAAATAAATTACATATTGATCTTGCTCAACAAGGTTTTACTCAGGTTTGTTTATTTTTATTTTTGTTTCATTTTTAAATTTTAAAAATTCTCATTTATTTATTTTATTTAAAATACTTGTTTCTATTTTTAATCAAAAATTTTTCTGATGATTAATAGACTTTAAGAAAAACAAAATTTCTTATAGTTATTGTCAATATTGTTGTATTATATTTGATTTATTTGATAAATAAAATTCTGCTCTTATAAGTTTAGATGTTAAATCCAGTAAAAGTCTTATTTAATTTAGGAATTCTCATATGTATAAGAGAATAAAATCCATATTTAACCGAGTGTTTCTCATCAAGAAAACAATCCTTTTAGATATAAGATTTTCTTTTTCGCATAAACATTATCATTAGTATTCATTTTTATTTTGAGTTCTATCGAAAAAATCAAATGAAGTTTTTATTGAGAAGTTAAAATGAAAATCGATTGAATAGATGATTATTTAATGATCTATTGAATCGATAATATTTATCTTGTTTAATGATCAATTAGATCTTAAGATTTGTAATTATTTGTAATCTACTCAAATAAATTTTTCTATATTGACTAATATCAATTGATAAACCTTTAAATTGTTATTTGTTTAAATGACAATTTAAGTTATTCGAAATAAATTATCAAAAGAACAAATCCTAGTCTTATAATCAGAGTAAAAACATGCAAAAAACAAAAAGATAATTTTTCAAAATAAATTTCAAGTTCATGTTTAATAGATATCATTATTTTAAAAAATATCTATTAAAACTTCATTGACTTTTATTTTATTGAATATTTATTCTTTTCTTGTTCAAATTTTCATTTCGAACTTTTTTTTTCGAATAAAAAAAAACTTTTATTAAACGAATAAATTTTTTCTCATTGAAATTTTGTTAAATAATTATCAAAAGAAAATAAAATAAAACGAAATAAATTTGTTTATTTAAATAATAATAATAAAATAATAAATTTCTAGTTATTAGTTGATCAGTTATCTCAAAGTGTATTATTAATAATTCGTCGTAATCCTGAAACACATAAATCAATATTATTAATCGCTTATACTTCATTTGAAGAACATAATAACCATAACCGTATAAGTCCATTATCAATTGAAGGAATGATTGATGAAATTGTATGTGAAGCATCAATTAATGATTCACAAGAAAATAAATCAATTATAAATTTTCAAAGATCAAGTGAATATATAAACGGACTTGAACATACAAATGTTTATCTTAATGAAAATATACCGATAGAACAAAGTCGTTTTGTTCGTTTAACATCACTAAATTCATCGGATTATATTGGTTTTCGAACAATTGAATTTACAGAAGAATTTCAAAGAGGTTCAATTATTATTTTACAAATTTCACTTCTTCCACATATTCATCAATCAATAATTAATATAGATCAATTATTAAATCAATTTTCACATCCAACAAGTCAATTTAATCAAATAGTTAAACAATTAACATTAGTTGATCTTGAACGTGTTCTTTATCGTACATCTGATGAAGAACAAGCTGATGGAAAAGGTTTTGATGTTTATAATATACCTGATCATGGAAAACTTGTATATTGTGGTCTTCAAGGACAAATATCTGTTTTAGAAAAAATTCGTTTATTTAATCAACTTAGACATCCATTTGTTATTAATTTAAAACAAGGAGATTGGTTAATGAATTATATTTCTAATAGACTTAAAATTCATCCAAGTACAAAACAGGTTTGTTATCTTTTATTTTAATTATAAATAAAAATAATATAATTAAGAATTATAGTTAGGAGATTGGTATGAAAATGCATTTGGATATGTTGCTTCATTATCTCGTTTAATGATTCTACCTTATTTTGATTTAATTATAAATGGATCCTATGATATATTATTAGAACATAGTTATTCATTAATGAGTCCATTTATTAATCAATCATCAACATTTGTTCGTAGACTTTCTCAATCAAGTGTTCAATTAACAAGTATTGTTCATAATGCACGTTTACCATTATTATCACCAAATTTACGTGAACCTCGTCCAAATGAAGAAAAAGATGAACAAACATTTGAACGTATTCAACAATGTCCATCATTAGCTGCAGGTTTTCCACATTTTGCTGCGGGAATATGGAGAAATTGGGGTAGAGATACATTTATATCATTACGTGGTCTTCTTTTATTAACTGGTCGATATGAAGAGGCTCGCTATTTAATATTATCTTATGGTGGATGTCTTCGTCATGGTTTAATTCCAAATTTATTAGCTGATGGAAAAGTTGCTCGTTATAATGCACGCGATGCTGTTTGGTGGTGGTTACATTCAATATCAAATTATACTCACATAGTACCTGATGGATATGAAATTCTTTCAGATAAAGTTTCACGTTTATATCCAACACATGATAGTCCAGCACAAGTAGCTGGTTTACATGATCAATCATTATATGATGTTATTCATGAAGTTCTTCTACGCCATGTTCAATCATTAACATTTCGAGAACGTGGAGCTGGACATTCTTTAGATTCTGTTATGACAGATGAAGGTTTTAATAATCAAATTGGTATTGATACAAAAACTGGATTTGTTTTTGGTGGAAATCGTTGGAATTGTGGAACTTGGATGGATAAAATGGGTTCAAGTGACAGAGCAGGAAATAAAGGTCATCCAGCATCACCACGTGATGGTTCAGCTATTGAATTGGTTGCATTATGTCGTGCAACACTTTCATGGCTTATTCGTATGAATCAAGAAGGACATTATCCTTATGATTCTATTGAAACATCTTCAGGTAACAATTTTTTTTTGTTATTTTAAAATTTTTGAAAATTTTTCAACAAAAAAAACAGGATCTGCTGGAAGAACAAAATTACTTTTAACTGATTGGTTAAATCGAATTGATGAAAATTTTGAAAAAGAATTTTGGATTGATGAATCAAATTCATCAGAATTTATTAATAGAAAACAAATTTATAAGGATACAATTAATTCAACAAATCGATGGACCGATTTTCAATTAAGACCCAATTTTCTTGTTGCCGCTGTTATTGTAACTTTATCTTTCCTATTTTTTTTCTTAAGAAAATTTTTTTTATTAAAAGGCTCCAGAGATGTTTGATAAAACTCATATATGGTTAGCATTAAAACAAGCTGAAACAATTCTTTTGGGTAAATATGGAATAAAAACTCTTGATCCAAGGTAAAAGAAAAAAAAACCTGTTTTCTTATTAATTAGTTAATTAATTATTCTTAAAGTGATTATAACTATATTGGTGATTATGTGAATGATGATGATTCACATGATTATAAACGAGCACGTGGTTTTAATTATCATAATGGTCCTGAATGGTTATGGTTAACTGGTTATTATATACGAGCGAAATTTTATTGGTCAAAACAACAAAATGATCCTATTATTTTTAAACAAACAATAAAACATATTCGACAATTAATATCATTACTTATGGATTTATTAATTTCAAATGATTGGAAAGGTTTACCTGAATTAACAAATGCTGACGGACATTTATGTCCATATTCATGTGATGTACAAGCTTGGTCTTCAGCAACACTTGTTGAAGCATTTTATGATCTTATTCGATCTGAAATTTAGCTATTTTTCTCTTGCGGAATGACAAACTTTGCCTCAATATCAAACTTTTTTCCCCT